CTGGGACGTCCTACACAGGAAGTCCACACCTCCATCCTGTGGCCTCCTCTTTCCATCACCTCCTGATCCTCTGAGGTGAGGAGAAGAAAAAGCTGCACCATGAGCAGCGGAGGAACCTCTAACTGGAACTGAATGTTATAACCCCTTCACAACCAGGTTATAAACCAGTTCATCAATGAGTTTGTGTTGATGCCAAATTGGGAGGAGGTGGGGAGTTCTACTGGAAAGAACCAACTGCTATCAGAAGGAAATGCTGCATCACCTCCTGGACCTGACGGAGCATGGAGCAGGAGGAGGGACCTCCAGATACGGCCAGCAGGACCTGCAGAAGAAGGAGACGTTCAGGGTTAGAGCGCCATCATCAGAACCGACAAAACACCTTGGTTCAATCCTAATGACACCAAACGGGTCAGAACCTGCAGATCCGTTTAAGATGGACCTCTACCTTCATTGGAAGGACCTCTACCTTCTTTAGCGATCGGACGTACCTCTACCTTCATCAGTGATCGGACGGCGCACCTCTACCTCCATCAGAACTCTACCTGATCGGACGGACCTCTACCTCCATCAGCGATCGGACGGCGGACCTCTACCTCCATCAGCGATCGGACGGCGGACCTCTACCTCCATCAGCACTCTACCTGATCGGACGGACCTCTACCTTCATCAGCGACCGGACAGACCTCTACCTTCATCAGCGATCGGACGGCGGACCTCTACCTCCATCAGAACTCTACCTGATCGGACGGACCTCTACCTCCATCAGAACTCTACCTGATCGGACGGACCTCTACCTTCATCAGCGACCGGACAGACCTCTACCTTCATCAGCGATCGGACGGCGGACCTCTACCTCCATCAGAACTCTACCTGATCGGACGGACCTCTACCTTCATCAGCGACCGGACAGACCTCTACCTTCATCAGCGATCGGACGGCGGACCTCTACCGCCATCAGAACTCTACCTGATCGGACGGACCTCTATCTACATCAGCGATCGGACGGACTTCTACCTGCATCAGAACTCTACCTGATCGGACGGACCTCTACCTTCATCAGCGATCGGACGGCGGACCTCTACCTACATCAGAACTCTACCTGATCGGACGGACCTCTACTTTCATCAGCGATCGGACGGCGGACCTCTACCTACATCAGAACTCTACCTGATCGGAAGGACCTCTACCTTCTTTAGCGATCGGACGTACCTCTACCTCCATCAGCGATCGGACGGCGGACCTCTACCTCCATCAGAACTCTACCTGATCGGAAGGACCTCTAAATTCTTTAGCGATCGGACGTAACTCTACCTCCATCAGCGATCGGACGGCGGACCTCTACCTCCATCAGAACTCTACCTGATCGGACGGACCTCTATCTACATCAGCGATCGGACGGACTTCTACCTGCATCAGAACTCTACCTGATCGGAAGGACCTCTACCTTCTTTAGCGATCGGACGTACCTCTACCTCCATCAGCGATCGGACGGCGGACCTCTACCTCCATCAGAACTCTACCTGATCGGACGGACCTCTATCTACATCAGCGATCGGACGGACTTCTACCTGCATCAGAACTCTACCTGATCGGAAGGACCTCTACCTTCTTTAGCGATCGGACGTACCTCTACCTCCATCAGCGATCGGACGGCGGACCTCTACCTCCATCAGAACTCTACCTGATCGGACGGACCTCTATCTACATCAGCGATCGGACGGACTTCTACCTGCATCAGAACTCTACCTGATCGGACGGACCTCTACCTTCATCAGCGATAGGACGGCGGACCTCTACCTTCATCAGTGATCGAAGGGACCTCTACCTGCATCAGAACTCTACCTGATCAGACGGACCTCTACCTGAAGCCTGTTTGCTGCATCTCACTAATTTTCTGTTACATTTATTCATTGGTTTAATAAAACCATGTTGGTGAAAAGCAGGAGCTTCAGGGCATAGACCAGGTTGGTAAAGATGTCCTCCTCACCTTCTCTCCTGGGAAGATGACTCTGGTCTTCCCCAGCATGGCTCTGAACTTATGAATGAAGCTCTCCCTGAAGCAGCTCCTGAGACAGAAACAGGATCAGGACCTTCTGCAGAGCTTCCAGGAGCTCTTGCTCATAGCGACCAGCTGCTGTCCTCTGGGGCTCTTCTCCACCAAGCTAGCTGGTTAGCATGGCTGCCTTACCTGCAGTAGGCATCTCCGGCTCTGACCACCACCACTGCTGGCTCCTCCTTGCATTTCATACATTTCTGAGAAAGGCTGAGAACAGAGAGAAGGAGCGTTTGATCCAACCATGAAATGAGCTGAATATCAACTGCTAATGACGCTTCAACACTGTGCAGCATATTTGCATTGTACTGAGGACTATTCATGTCAGAGCTGGGGGATAACTTTCCATAAGTTAGAAGGACTAATACTTTTTATATATTCTAATATTATTTTTTACTTTATGTTCATCAATTAAATTCCAGCTAATATAATGTTTGCTGCCTGTGGTCAGTCCTAACACAGATTTATATAGTCGCAGTTAAATAGTCTCAGTCTAACTTGACTTGCGCCGCTTCTCCTGTTAATATGGTAAAGCCCTCCAGTGCGTCTGGCTCCAGGCTACACGTGATCCAAACTAACCAATGAGCTGACTGCTGTCAGTCAGTCTGGGTTGCTGGCATGAACAGAATCAATAATCAATAAATATGGATCCAGGCTCAAAATGAGCTCCTTGATATGTGCTTTAGAATGGCTTAGTCTCCATTCAAACCCAGGTTTAAAGCCTTGCAGGGCAGCCTAAAGCCCACTGCCCTCATTAAGACAGAAAAAAGAAGAAAAAAAACGATTGTTTTTCTATACTTCAAAAAAACCACTATAGATTTTAAAATGGAAAATTTTTCTATTTTTTTCTTGTTTTTTTTATTCAAAAAGTCAATGTATAACATGGATGCATAAAAACATAATTTTATTTCAGTGTTAAAATTCTGTTTAAAGTAACAGATCATAATTGAAAATGTCTCCAGACCTTTACTGATTGTTGATTTTCTTTATTCCGACCCCGCTGATTTTTAACTGGTTACCCCTGATATCCTGAGGGTCTGAGTTTGAGCCCAACTCCCACCGACTGCCACTCTGGGTCCTTGAGCAAAGACTAGTGATGGGTCCATTAACAGCAATACATGGCTGCATGCGTGGAGCCCATTGAGCAAAACACTATCACTGCATGTGTCGTTTCCAGAAAGTCATGTGACCGATACAGGAGTCGCTTCTAACCGACTGACTCACTAAACTTTGTTTAAAAATGTATCTGTCAACATAATGCATCTGCTAAAAAATGGCTCATCTTTTGAACTTTATCATTAAAATGTTTAAGAATTTTGGAGCAGCCTAAAAGGAACAGAAACGTTTCAGCCGTGTTTTTACTTTAATTTTCTCGTTTCATCCTTTTCCTCCCAGTTATCACTCAACTTATCTGAATTAAAGTCAATTTCAAATTGACTCTTAGTTTATTTGCTGTTTTTACTGTACTTATTGTTTTAAACATATGATTTAAAATCCTAGTCCACAAGTATCCTCATTCACATTTTCCCCTAAATTTTACACTGCTGCCTGTAGTGTCTTTAAATGTCCAGCAGGTGTCAGTGTTCTGCGAGACAGAATCAACGCAGCATCAATACAGTTTAGCTTCAAGATGCCTCATTAAGCATCACTAGCATAAACTCTTACCCCAACACTGCTCCCTAAGGGGATGGGTTAAATGCAGAGGTAAATGTTTCTAATGTTAGGTCAAAAAAGTTTAATTATTAGTAGTAGTAGTAATACTAAATGATTAAAAACATTTCTGAACATGGCTTTGAGTTCTGTAAAATACATCAACCCCACATTTAACCCCACTAAAATACTGAATTCGTATTTATAAGGTTTGCAGCTCTGAAAGCTCAGCAACCATGTGTGTCACTGCCAGAACCTTCCGGCCTCCCTGGGGGGGAACTAAATGCCAGCAGCTTCGTTCCTACCTGCTAAAACCGTCCAAAACACCGAACCTTTAAACAAAAAAGTTCCGCTGCGGCACAGAGACCCAGAACCGTTCGGTAAACCCCGAGCTTTAACACCCACCCACCATTCATCCATCAGTATAGTATCGTGATTTTTCAGCGCGTGGGTTCTACCTGAGTCTGTCCACGCGCTCCAACTGCTCGTGGTACTCTTCCTCCACCTGACACATCGCAGTAGAGCAATAGCGGCCTAGCCGGACGGGCAGAACTCAGGAGGAACCGGGTGAGTCCAGGTGTGCCGTCCTGATGTTTAATAATCACCACAACTCACAGCTCCTCCGCTTCATTCTTCTTCAGCTTTCATTTCCGGTTAGCAACCGGTCCGAGGCTTACTACCGCCACCTTCTGGACACCCAGTGAAATTGTTGCCCTCTTACACCGTTATGTGCCTCTGTCTCTTAGTGCTGCTGCATCACCTCTGCTTTTCCAGCATTCCCAAAGCATGATTCTGCCAGCACCGTGCAAATTGGAAGTACAAACGTAGATTTGTTGTATGTCCATCCATTCATCCACTTTCCATCACACTTATCCTCTGCTCGGGTTGCGAGGGATGCCTATCTCCAGCAGGCGAGAGGCGGGCTACACCCTGGACAGGTCGCCAGTCCATCACAGGGCAACACAGAGATACACAAACAACCATTCACGCACACACTCACACCTAAGGACAATTTAGAGAAGCCAATCAACCTAACAGTCATGTTTTTGGACTGTGGGAGGAAGCCGGAGTACCTGGAGAGAACCCACACATGCTCAGGTAGAACATGCAAACTCAGTGCAGAAAGATCCCAGGCCGGGAATCGAACCCAGCACTGCTGCCTTGCAGCAAGAATAGGCCTATTAACAAATTTTGAGAATGCTTTATCAACTTTATCTGAACTAACAGGATATATATCCCTTCCAAGTAAATCTATCATAATCAGGACATTTTCTGGCTTAAAAAAAAAGTTAATGAATTATCATTGAATTTTTTAATCAAACAGAATGCACTGTGAAATCAACAAGTTGGGCAATATTGGTGGGTAATTATTGTATAACCTAGCATTTTTAATCAAGTGAATTAATGGCAGCTAATGTCTTTGATGAACCATTCCTTTTTGAGGATAGATTTACAATTAATTGTTATTACTCTTTTGTTCCATAGGGTAGATCTATGGGGAGAAAAGCTGTTCCAGGTTGTCAGCAGCGGGTCGGCGGTACCCCATTTCCCAGAATGCGATGCGCGCAGAGCGCCCGGTGAAACCTCGCGAGCCTCCGTTCGTCTCGCTCCTGAGCGCAGATCTCAAAGCCATCCGGATGCATCCTCTGCTGTTATCCTCGCGTTTGGAGCTCAGATGTTTTAATTGAGGTCAAGCATCGCAGCGTCGTGCCTTCAGTCGCTTCCAATGTTTACCTCTCTAGCATGTCTCCTCCAGCAGAGGGAAACAGCCAGACTTCTCAGGCCAGGAAGCATCTCTATCCTTCATCTTTAGTCAGCTGCTAGTTTAGGACATTCTCTCCCCTCAGCTGTCCGGATTATGCTCTAGTCGCTCTCCGGATTGAACTCTTCCTCGCTTTTGTCGACAGCTGGGCTCCTCTTCGGCTCCATGATGGCGATGTTTCGGAGCTTTGTGTCGGGGAGCACCCAGCTCCGCCAGCAGCAGCAGCAGTCCAACAGCGGCCCCGGGCCCCTGGCGGCCCCCCCTGAGGGCGTAGAGAGCCAGTTCTCCTGCCCCATCTGCCTGGAGGTTTACCACAAACCCGTCAGCATCGCCAGCTGCGGACACACGTAAAGTAGCCTGTTGTTACTGGGAGGGAGGCAGGTGTTCATGCTTATTCATGTGATTTCAACCAGTGCAGCTTCTAATAGAATAGCTCTGATCCAGGGGCGGAGATAGGACCATCAGGCCTAAATAAACAAACATCATTTTAATCAAACTCACCTTCTGCTGCCTTCAACCATCACTGCTAAGCAAACAGGAAGTCTGCTGCAAGGAAAGCTCTGCTCATTGGTCAGTCTGGCTGCTCCTGATGCTGGAAGTGTTGATTGAAAACATCAACCCTGCGGCTTCCTGGGTTTTCCTTTGATCTGCTTGATTGATCCTAACTGATTGATCCTAACTGATTCTAATTGATCCTAACTGATTCTGATTGATTGATCCTAACTGATTCTGATTGATCCTAACTGATTGATCCTAACTGATTCTGATTGATCCTAACTGATTCTGATTGATCGATCCTAACTGATTCTGATTGATCCTAACTGATTGATCCTAACTAATTCTGATTGATCCTAACTGATTGATCCTAACTGATTCTGATTGATCCTAACTGATTGATCCTAACTGATTCTGATTGATCCTAACTGATTCTGATTGATTGATCCTAACTGATTCTGATTGATCCTAACTGATTGATCCTAACTGATTCTGATTGATCCTAACTGATTCTGATTGATCGATCCTAACTGATTCTGATTGATCCTAACTGATTGATCCTAACTGATTCTGATTGATTGATCCTAACTGATTGATCCTAACTGATTCTGATTGATTGATCCTAACTGATTCTGATTGATTGATCCTAACTGATTCTGATTGATCCTAACTAATTGGTCCTAACTGATTCTGATTGATCACAACTGATTGATCCTAACTGATTCTGATTGATCCTAACTGATTCTGATTGATCCTAACTGATTCTGATTGATCCTAACTAATTGATCCTAACTGATTCTGATTGATCCTAACTGATTCTGATTGATCCTAACTAATTGGTCCTAACTGATTCTGATTGATCACAACTGATTGATCCTAACTGATTCTGATTGATCCTAACTGATTCTGATTGATCCTAAGTGATTCTGATTGATTGATCCTAACTGATTCTGATTGATTGATCCTAACTGATTCTGATTGATCCTAACTGATTGATCCTAACTGATTCTGATTGATCATAACTGATTCTGATTGATCGATCCTAACTGATTCTGACTGATCCTAACTGATTCTGATTGATTGATCCTAAGTGATTCTGATTGATCCTAAGTGATTCTGATTGATCCTAAGTGATTCTGATTGATTGATCCTAACTGATTCTGATTGATCCTAACTGATTCTGATTGATCCTAACTGATTCTGATTTATCATAACAGATTCTGATTGATTGATCCTAACTGATTCTGACTGATCCTAACTGATTCTGATTGATTGATCCTAAGTGATTCTGATTGATTGATCCTAAGTGATTCTGATTGATCCTAAGTGATTCTGATTGATTGATCCTAACTGATTCTGATTGATCCTAACTGATTCTGATTGATCCTAACTGATTCTGATTGATTGATTCTAACTGATTCTGATTGATCCTAACTGATTCTGATTGATCCTAACTGATTCTGATTTATCATAACAGATTCTGATTGATTGATCCTAACTGATTCTGACTGATCCTAACTGATTCTCATTGATTGATCCTAACTGATTCTGATTGATTGATCCTAACTGATTCTGACTGATCCTAACTGATTCTGATTGATTGATCCTAACTGATTCTGATTTATCCTTACTGATTGATCCTAACTGATCCTGGTTGATTGATCCTAACTGATTGATTGATCCTAACTGATTGATCCTAACTGATTCAGCAAATAGAAAAACCTCTGAGAGGCAGACAATATACGGGCGGGCTGATTTCTAGGGTTCCTTCTCTGTTCAGCCTTCAGATTCCATGAAGTTCATGCATTGCTGCTCCCTGTTATCTGCTGTGAATGTTTTCTTTGATCACAGATGTTTCCTTTCATTTATCATGTAAAGGAGGTAAATAAAAAATAAAACAAGCTCTAATAATCAGCGGCTCATATCAGGGATTGTTGCACTGATCTCAGAATAATCGGCATCGGCCTTAAAAGTTTCATCAGTCCGTCTCCAGCATCCTCCATGGGGACAGAAGTTTCAATTTATTTTCTCCTATCCACCATCTGCTGCTGATCCATCAGGGTCGCGGGGGGCTGGGGTTCCCAGCAGTATGAATTAGGGCCACAAAGTTTGTTTGAAATAAAACATAATAAATTTTAAAACTTAGTTATATTGACTGGCATTTCTAAATTTGCTCTTAGGTGTGTGTAAGTGGTTGTATTGTGTCCTGTGTTGGACTGGTGACCCTTCCAGGTGCTCATAGGCTCCTGGAGGCCCCAGCCCCCCATGACCCTCACGGATCAACATCCATCCATCCATCCATCCATCCATCCATCCATCCATCCATCCATCCATCCATCCATCCATCCATCCATCCATCCATCCATCCATCCATCCATCCATCCATCCATCCATCCATCCATCCATCCATCCATCCATCCATCCATCCATCTTCTTGCATGCTTAATCCCAAGTGGGGTCGCGAGGGGTGCTGGTGCCTATTTCCAGCTGTCAATGGGCTAGAGGCAGCAGCAGAAGGAGGATAGGAGAAAATAGATTGAAACTTGAACATTTTTCATTTAAAATCTTTTTGTTTTTCAGTTCCAGATGTGTTTCAATGTAAAAATTTTTTTCTTATTTTGAGTTATTATTATTATTTTATTTTTTTTGTAGCTCCATAGTGGGGTCCCAGAACTAAACCTGAATAGGACACACATTTGAAAAGCTGAGCTATTCAGCGGGTGAGATTATAGCGATTATAGTCAACAAAGGGCGTCTCTAAACCGGCTCTGATCAGGAACCGGCTTGTTTTTCTGTAATAAACAAAGAAATATTAAAATTATATTTAATATCCAAAAGAACCAATCTGAACAACAAAAATCCACATGGTTCTGACATCAGGACAAAGGTCCACCTGGTTCCGGTGTAACAGGACCTCCAGAACCCTGCCTGGCCGGCAGCGTGTAGCCTCTGTGAGGTGTGGATGTTCTGATGGTTTTGGTTCTGTCTGCAGGTTCTGCGGGGAATGTCTGCAGCCTTGTCTCCAGGTGTCCTCTCCGCTCTGCCCGCTCTGCCGGGTTCCCTTTGAGCCCAAGAAGGTGGAGCGGTCCTCCAGCGTGGAGAAGCAGCTGGCCTCCCTCAAAGCCCCCTGCAGGGGCTGCAACAAAAAGGTCCGGCAGCGCCCACCTGGTATTGTTCTGTGGTTCTGGTCCCACGCCGATTCTGATCAGGGTTCTCTCACATGTGGTTCTGTTCAGGTGTCCCTGGGGAAGATGAGGTCCCACATCTCGTCCTGTTCCAAAGTGCAGGAGCAGATCGCCAACTGTCCCAAGTTCGTCCCGGTGGTCCCCACCTCTCAGCCCATCCCCAGGTACCTCCTCCATCCAGACCCGGACCTCTGCGTCTTCTTTAACAGTCCTGAAAGCAGCCGTTCCATCATTCTTCCTGTCTTTTGTTCTGAAGCAACATTCCCAACCGGTCCACGTTCGTCTGTCCGTTCTGTGGAGCCAGGAACCTGGACCAGCAGGAGCTGCTGAAGCACTGCATGGAGAACCACCGCAATGACCCCAACAAAGTGGTGAGGAGGTTCTCTGGAGGGAAACCAACCCGCTTCCAGCCGACGCTTCCCTGACCGCATCTGCTTCCTGCCTCTGTCCTGCAGGTGTGCCCGGTGTGCTCCGCCATGCCGTGGGGAGACCCCACCTACAAGAGCTCCAACTTCCTGCAGCATCTCCTCCACAGACACAAGTTCTCCTACGACACCTTTGTGGTACGTCCAGAACCCGGTTCTTCTTTTTTCGTTCTGATGCACCATTGCCCCCCCTGCCCAAGCTCTGCCCATCGTCACTAACCGCCTCCTCATTTATGTTGTTAACTTAAACTAAAACAAATTACAAAAAGGACAATTTTTAAGTTTCCAAACTCTACAGGAGGTCGATTAGGAATATCAAGGTTTTTACATTTACCTTCAGGTACGAGGTGATTATTTTAAGTTGTAGGGAAACGGCTGTTCCAAACGTTGCATTTCTAAATTCTCCTGAATGTGATTGGTTGATTATCAAGAGGGCGGGATTATTGTGGCGAAAGGTTCACAAGTTTTTGGTTGTGACCAGTTTCTCTGGTTTCTGCTAACCAGTTAGCAACTTAGTGCTAGTAGGTTCCCTTCCATTGGGACCAAGAAGCACTAAATTGGTGATTTATATATACAGTATATATATATATATATATATATATATATAAGAGTCATGGGTACTTGTTGATGGCATTAAAGTTATTTTTAAGAGCATTAAAAGGCCAGTAAAAAGCATTAAATTAGAGTTACTCACTCCTGTATAAACCCTGTGAATTTTTTGCAGGCAATTTATTTTTTTTTTAGCAGGGGAATTTTTTGCAGCTTAATTTTTACCAGATAAAAATTTAGTGTAAGGAAATCAATGTGTAAAAAGGAAGGGGGTAAAGAACGAGATAGGTAAAGTTCTGCGAATTGCTATACTATTAACCCTAAGTTGGTTTCTTTTCGATCAAACTCCTAAAGGCATGTACACTAGAGACCAAAGGAACTTGCTACATACACTACCGTTCAAAAGTTTGGGGTCACCCAAACAATTTTGTGTTTTCCTGAAAAGTAACACTTATTCACCACCATACATTGTGAAATGAATAGAAAATAGAGTCAAGACATTGACAAGGTTAGAAATAATGATTTTTATTTGAAATAAGATTTTTTTTACATCAAACTTTGCTTTCGTCAAAGAATCCTCCATTTGCAGCAATTACAGCATTGCAGACCTTTGGCATTCTAGCTGCTAATTTGTTGAGGTAATCTAGAGAAATTGCACCCCACGCTTCCAGAAGCAGCTCCCACAAGTTGGATTGGTTGGATTGGCACTTCTTGCGTACCATACGGTCAAGCTGCTCCCACAACAGCTCAATGGGGTTCAGATCTGGCCACTCCATTACCGATAGAATACCAGCTGCCTGCTTCTGCTCTAAATAGTTCTTGCACAATTTGGAGGTGTGTTTCGGTATTGGCCAATACTAAACAGCCAGGTATCGGGGCCAAAAAATGGCATCGGCACAACACTACCCATAACAAGATACCTCTTTAACTGAGGGGATTCTGACAGTAATGTCTTAAATGTCCACTTATTTATTTACTATTTACACTGCAAAAACTATCTAGCAATAAGGCAAAATTGATTAAATAAAGTCTATTTACCCTTAATTTGAGCAGGTAAATAAGATGATTTTCCAATGGCATTAGTTTATTAATCCTAGAATAAGATAATTAGATGATATGCACTTGAAGTTGTTTTTCTCATTTTAAAAGTAAATTGTCTTGTTCCATTGGCAAAAATTCTCACTTACCTCCTCAATAAAAAAAAATGCACTTTAAGAGAAAATTTGTTATTTAGATTTCTTTTCTTTGCAGTGTATTATTTTCAGTCATATCCTGTTACTAAGCTTTCAGGGCCCAAAGGGTTGTTTCTTTCCAAACCTTGTGCACTATCATTCATAGCCTGTGATGTTGTTAAGGAATGTTTGTATTATTTCTAATAAAAAATAAGGTTTAAAATAAAATGCACAAACCTGCTCTGAAGAAGCATCCAAGGCTAGCAGCTAAAACTAAAGCTGTCAGTTAATGCAAATAAAGCTAGCAGATAAGGCTAGGATCTAAAGCTCCGTCTCCTCTGTTTCAGGACTACAGCATCGATGAGGAGGCGGCGCTGCAGGCAGCTCTGGCTCTGTCTCTGGCTGAGAACTGACAGCAGGCCCTCCTCGCCCCGGCGGCTGTTCTTCCACGGGTCAGAACGTTTTAAGCCATCACGTGGACAAACCTGACCCGACTGTATCATAACATGGCAGCCACCTCCTTCTCCTGTCGTAGCAGTGCACTTTGACCTTTCAGTTTCAACGTCCTCCTTATGGACTTCATGTTTATGGACGGGCCGGCCCGCGGGTCAGGAGTGGATCCACCCATTACCTCCTCGTCTTCTCACAGAACCGTCTGCAGTTCATCCCAGCACCTTGGAGGTCCGCCTCCCTGGAAAGACGTCGGTCTATGACTCTTAAACCCGTCGGTGGTCCAGCCCTCTGTGATGTCACCGGGCGGACACTCTGACCCGGTTCTTCAGAGCAGCACTGCCAGGCTTTAGGGGATGGGAACCAAGAAGGGACCTTGTCTGTTCCTTCTCTGTAGCTGCCCACTGCGTTCTAGATGAAGATCAGTCAAGCTGGTTCAGCCCCTCAGTTCCGTTTCATTCCAACACCTCAGTTTAACGTTGGTCCAACCAGAATTCTGATCACTTCTGACTGGCAGCAGCTAGAGATTAGGGTGATGGTAAGGAGTCAGTCCATTACCAGCCAAACATGCAAAAGGAGGGCGGTTGCTGACTGACGATGATGATGATGGTTTGTCCTTGCGTTGAGGACGACTTCATCTTTTTTAATAACACGGGAAAACAACAGATATGTTTTGATAATATTTTCCGTTATTCTGTTTTCAGCTTTTATTTTAAATTTCCCGTCAGGAAGGAAGTTGTTGGCCGAATATGAATCCTCTAGAGTCCAGACTGATCTGGCATCGAGGCTGCAGACAAGCTTAGGCCTGCAGGATGGGAGACATGACAGGTGATAGCAGTTAGCATCCAGTGATAACACCTGACCTACGGGTGGTCCATGAAACCCAGAAGCATGCAGACACAGTAGAAAGGAACAACTCCATTCAACAGGAACAGAATCTGAGCAGAACTGGGCCCAGCGTTAGCGGCAGGTGGAGAGCAGAGCCACCATGTTTTCTGTTGGTGCGCGGCTGGAAGTCTGTTAATTTCTGGGCTGTTGAACAACGGGTCAGACTAGCTTCTGTTTGTCTTGCTGATGGTGGATGTTGGTCCGGTTCTGGTTGATTCTGACAGCTCCAAATTAGAGCAATGGTTCCTCTTTATTAACCCAGTACATGCAGGGGTCAGAGCTGCGGGTCATGTGACACAGTGCGGCATACAGGAAGGTGTCAGATGCTGAGCTTCATGGGTGATGGTTTGTGAAGCCCATCAAACCACCGCCTGACCCCCACCCACCCACCATGTGTCTCCATAGGAGCCCGGAACAGCTGAACAGAGACCATTCAGGAATGTTGAACGTTTGTTTGGGAGCCTTGGTTCAGTTCTACCCCTCCGATCGCCAAACAGAACATCCTGCTCCAGCGAAGCCACACCTGTTCCGGTTTCACCACTAGAGGGCAGTCTTTCTCTGTAAATTCTAACAGGTAGAAGAGGGTCAGGCAGGAAGGGGCCGATTTTATTCTGGATGATGTTGAAAATGATCAGGTTTTAGTTTGTTCTTCATCTTCTTGTTGAGTTTCTTCTCTTCTAAGTGTGAGTTGTGATTTTTTCACCATTTAAAGGTCCAGAGTCTCCTGTCAGAAATCTCCTAGTATTAGATCAAGAGTGGTCATTAAGTTTGATATTCTGAGCAATATTACGCTGCCGTCATTCAAAAGAGAAAAGGATAAAAACGAGCCTCAGAGGAATCCTTTTTTTCATTTGTTGGATGATCTGAAGAAAGAAAAAACGGGACTTCCACATGAGGAAAGACGCTGATCATTTGCATCCTCAGCTGATCTGAAGTCTTTGTTTTCTGCACTGTTACCGTGGAAACGGTTGTTACATCCGAGTTACCTTATGTTTACTGTCACATAGACTAGTCACACTGTCTGTTTCTTAGGGTTCTGTCTGGTTTACTAAGAACAAACAATGATGGTTTTGCAGAAGATTAATTTTGTCAACTTCTCTTAAATAAAACTATTTTACAATCCAAGCATTTCCTGTATATCTCATATGCTGCTGCTGATGGGACCCTTAATTTGTAGTTTCTAAATATATTTAGGTGCACATCAAACTCAAAGGAGGGGAGAGTTCCTCAGGTGTGATTATTACATCTGAAGAACTCCCCTCCCTTGAGGATAGCTACCGGTAATAGCTAAAACAAACTGTTTCAGAGAGACAGAGTCAGAATGCATTTTTCTGGTGAATGATTGAAGAAGAAGCAGCTAAAGAAACTGAAAAAAGTGGAAAAAAGCTAAAATTGGAATATATGAAAAATCTATAGGAAGTATCTGAAACCTAAAACTGCAGATAACAGTTGAATCATCTGAAGATTCTGTAGGGTTTCCAAAAAAAAATAAAAATTAAAAACAATCCACTGGACTTTGTTTCCTAGTTTGAAGACGTTTCTCTTCCCGTCCAGGAAGCTTTTTCAATTCCAAAATCTTTTTTTTTCATTATTTTTTATTTTTGGAATGACTATGACCTGGATGACTGAGTCTTCTGTAGGTAGAATCCTTTGGCAGTTTTCTAGCAGAAACAAGCTCACCTTGAAAGCAGAACAACTCATGAAATATAATGAACCAGAAGAAACGGTCCAAAAGCATCCGTTTACCTGGAAGCTTAGAGAAATATTTTTAAAAAGACATAGTCCTTTGAAAAAATGAGCAAAATTAGCAATGAATAATGGGTTTGAGTTGAACCAAGTGTTTAACTTTTCTCCAGCTACAGGACCCAACGGCTTCCATTAGGTTTTGATATTTTGCTAAAAATGAGTGCAAACATAAATGCAATGCCATATGTCTATTTAATGTTTTCCTATTGTTGAGAAGGAAAACGTTACAGAATATACTAATATTTATTGTTATGGATAGATAGACTAAATCATCAGCAACATTAATAAAAAAATCAAAATAGATTAAGAAAAACCAGTAACAACTGATACTGCATATATATAATTTCAAATAGGAAAAATATCCTCATTACATCCATCCATTGCTGTATTAAGAAAAATATGGAAAAACTGTAGGGTACTAAAAATAACTGACTGTAAATAATGATTCCCAGATAGATGGATGGTTTCCATTTCATCAGTATCATTCCAAAAAGAGGCAATTAAAAACAATCCACTGGACTTTGTTTCCAAGTTTGAAGACGTTTCGCTTCCAGGAAGCTTTTTCAGCTTCTTAGACATTATAGGATTAAAAAGAACTTTATTCAAAGTAGGTAAACATAACACCGGTTGGTGTGAATACTGTTAATTGAACATGTTACGGTACACTATGAAAGAAAAAGGAGGAAAATGGTTCAAAAATATAAAAAGGAAAGAATAAACTTTGATTTTATAGAAATCCTTAAACAAAACTCAAGAGATAAATCATATGAAATTGTTTTTTATTTTCTTACATTAAGAGGATTTGAACCTTATTTTGGTTTTGTTGATTTAGTTTGATTCAGTATAAGTAGGTAGTAGCCATTCAGATCCACACTCCATTCCAGTAGATGGCGGTAATGCACATCATCAGGCAGCTTGCCAACTGCCATAATAATAATAATTATAATAGGAAGAGGCCTGAGGAGAGAGTTATAATGTATTAAGGAATAGATTAATCTATTATATATTTTGAGGAAGAATTTGGAGAGTAAACATATACAAATAATTATTAGATTTTTAAAGAAAACTAAATAATTTCATAGAATGTGATTATAGAGGGGGTGAATGTGTTTATGATATAGATGGGTAGAATACAACGTATGTAGTCTTTTTTTTTGTTGTTGTTTGTTTTCTTTTTTTTCCCCCTTAGAAATTATATATATGTTATCACGAACCACACTCCATACCAGTAAGCGGCGGTAATGCTACTAAATGTTTGTTGCCAACCGCCAATAAAGAAGAAGAAGAGGCCCCGCCCCCTCCCAGAGTGGCGGAAGTAGTCCAGACAGAGGAACAAGGAGGCTGATAGCAGCGACTGCTCCTGGACACCACCGCAGGTAAAACCACCGGTTCTGGTTCTGGACATGAAGCCGTAGATTATTCAGGTTTCCGGGCTTATTTGAACCGATAAACGGGTCAGTTTTCGGGGTTTGTGCTGTGCTGGTACCGCCTTCAGAGGAGCAGAGGAACCGCTGGCTTTTCTGTTCAGTCCGCCAAATATGGGCATCAGTCCGGGCTTCCTGTGGGCCTGGGCTCTCCACAGGACCCGGAACCAGTCAGGGGTTCTGATCTGATCCATGATGGGAAACATCTCGAAGAAGCCATATTCTCCCTAGATGGTGGTTCTGGTGCCATGGAGTAAAGATCACCACTAACCAGTCCTCCCAGTCTGTCTCCAGTACCACCTTGTTCCAGCCAGTGGACCAGTTGGACTCTGGAGATGTTCAGCTGGTTCCTCCTGCTGGGGACCACTGAGGAGGAAGTCCTTCCTCAGCCCAAATGTCCAACCTCTGGTTCTGCAGAACTCCATGGTTTGGGTTCTTCTCAGAGTCTTAAGTGTCTTTGTCTGTTTTCAGAACTTAGGGTTCCCTTACTGGGACCAGACTGCCTGCTTAGAATAATAGAAAATAGAACCAATTGAGTTTATTGATCTCACAGTGGAGAAATTTACACTTTACATCAGCTCCATAGTCAACGGAGAAGAAGGTTCCAAAATAAGAAAAAGGTGCATGGTGCATCCACATATGACAGCTTTTTTCTTTATATATATATAGGATTATATCACAGAGTTATTGCACAGGGTGTTTACATGGGTATGTATATACATTTCAGACCAAAAGTTTGGACACACTTTCTCATTCGAACTGTTTTCTCTATTTTCGTGACTATGAAAATAATAGATTCGCACTGAAGGCATCAGAACTATTAATTAACACATGTGGAATTATATACTTAATAAAAAAGTGTAAAACAAGGGAATATCTGTCTCATATTCTAAATTCTTCAAAGCATTCTCTTGATGGGCTTCCAGAGATGGTCACCTGAAATGGTTTTCCCTTCACAGGTGTCCCCTGTCAGGTGTAATAAGTGGGATTTCTTGCCTTATAAATGGGATTGGGACCATCGGTGTGTTGTGAAGTCAGGTGGATACACAGCTGATTGTCCTATTGAATTCAAAATTGAAGGCATACTGAACCTGCATGGCTATCACAGCATCTTGCAGTGGCATGCTATTCACTTTACTTTAGTTGGACCATCATTTATTTTTCAACAGGACAATAACCCCAAACACACCTCCAGGCTGTGTAAGGGCTATTTGACCACGAAGGAGAGTGATAGGGTGCTGCTCCAGATGATCTGGTCTCAGCAATCAACGGACCTGAACCCAACCAAGATTGTTTGGGGTTAGCTGGACCGCAGAGTGAAGGGAAAAGGGCCAACAAGTGCTAAGCATCTGTGGGAACGTCTTCAAGAGTGTTGGAAGACCATTTCATGTGACTCTGGAAGCTTATCTAGAGAATGCCAAGAGTGAGCGAAGCAGTAATCAAAGCTAAAGGTGGCGACTTTGAAGAACCCAGAATATAAATCATATATTCAGTAGTTTCACACTACCAAAAACCAATCAGATATATAAGTTGTCACACTAGTTTATTATGCCAACAACAAAAAAACATAGTAAAAATACTTTATAAAAACAAAACATTTTTCCATGTACAGGTTAAGTTTTTGTACATAAATCTTGACTTCTGAGACTTTGTGAAGGTAAATCACTATTTTGCATCGTCCAATATGGCGTTACAAAAAAAAAAAATAATAATAATGTACCAGTTTAATAATGGAGAAGCTATTAGTCAGCTTTATATTTTTTAATTTGTAAAAACTATTTATTTTTGGAGAATGTGTTTATTTAAGAGCATCTATGCAAATTAACAAACGCCTAGAAAAAGTGCACTACATTCTATTATTTTCCATGTGAATCCCAGATTGTTCATTCTTTGCTTTTTCTACAAACTGCTTGTAGCCACATACTATTAAGTAAAACTCCTGAGCGCCCCCTAGGGGCCAGCCGCTGCTGAATAGTTCCCAGTGGGCAGGAGGCCAAACGGACTCATCACAGCCTCTGGCTCAGCAGTGTTTAACAGATCAATGACGCTGCAGGTCATTGATCTGTTAAAAGGTCACCTCTTACTTCCTGTCTCTGTTGAGAGTCTGGCTTCAGGACCCACAGAACTTTCTACATGTACAATGTGTGTGCTTGCTTGGTTTAGGGAGTTCAGAAGCAACATGTTTATGGAGAAACATGTAGGTCTCTGCTCTGCATGTTGGTCTGCCTCTCCCATCAAATCCTCCTCCTTCTCCTTCTCCTCCTCCTCCTCCTCCTTTCATAGAACTCTATCCAGGGTAGGAAAGGAGCTCTGGACCCGAACAGCCTTCTAGCCATCATTATGGGTTGGAAACGCACAGGGATGGTCCTATTTAGACTACAGTCATCAGAAAAATAATTCCAAAGACTGCCGTTCTCTAAATGTCTGAAGCTCCCTGCTCTAAAAATCTCTGAAGGCGAGAACATCAGCGTGAGTCACTCAGAGAACAAATGACTGATTGTTGTTGAACTCCATGAAGTGAGCTGTGTCTATGCATGTTGTGCAAAGGATTGTGGGAAATGGTGTTGCTCCTAGCTGCAGCTATGAACATCAGGAGGTTCCTATGCTAAAGTATCTATGAGAGGAGATGACCTGCTGATGGAGAACACTGATGACTTTAGCTGCGGCTGCAGAGTCCTCACCGACTGGACGCTGTGATCTCCATGTGGGTGTTAGCTTCCTGCGGCTGCTAGCAGGGGCTCTGGGCAGAGCAGGGCTGCAGCTAACCATTGTTTTGCAAATCGATTAATCTGTTGATTATTTTTTGGATTAATCAATTAATAATCGGATAGCAAAAGATCCTTTAAAGGAGACCTTTCATGAAATAAAAGCAGATGAATCTAAAATGTTCTGGATAGAGCATATTGACAGACCAATGCAAAATGTTATACGTTTTTTACAATCTTGGTATAATTCCTGCTCTCAGTGGGTCGCTCTGTCAGCTAAAGTCATGTTTTGCAGTCTCTATACTCCAGTTAACGATGCATCGATTACTGAATTACTTGATGATTTCAATAATCAATGAATCCGTTTAATTGTTTCAGCCTTAGGGCGAACCTCCTCCTCCTGGTTCCTGCAGTAAAACATGCAGTTTTAATGAGACCGGCCAGGTGAGGAGCAGCATATCATTACAGGCCCTATACCTATCAGGCCAGCAGGCCCACTGCCTGGTGACCCCACAGAAACAGATGCACACCAGGACTCACCGGGGCAACCAGAAACATCCGTCTGCACTGTGCGAAAGCTGGAGTTGCCTCACCATGACCTTCCCAGGATCTACTGCTGGTCCGCCAGCAGAGCCTGGGAGAGCTTTAGCAGTCCGCTGTCTAACGCCTCAGGACTCTTTGGCTCTGTTTGAATTTATGGGCTGCGATTCCAAGGAGATTACACTCAGAATCCAGAGTGGAATGAAGGTTCCATCCACCAGGAGCAGGAACAAATAAAATCAAATGTAATGATAGAAACCTTAGTCAGTTAAATAACATGCTGCTGTCATTCTGCACATCTCTGATGTTGCTGCTATTTTCAAATATCCATTACTGTAAAAATGTCCATAGCTGCATATTGGTTATTAATTCTCCAGGTTCACAGTTTTATAAATTATTAAAACACTTTACAGTATAGTATTTTATTGTTTATCTTTGAACTCTACACTATTATTTTATTCTTTTACATTTTTCTAAGGTCCACATTTGTTTGACCATTTTTTCTATAATCTTTTTGCTGCTGTAAATTTGCCCATTGTGGGACAATAAATGTATTTTTTATTCTATAAAAGTGATACAAAAATATAAGTAAAAAAGATATATCTGCAAAATTATTTTATTCAACAACAAAAATTTGCTTAGCAAATTGTGCAAAATAGCAATTAGAAAATAAAACTCCTATCAGATTTATAGTTCCCACTCTGCAGATCTATTAGAATCTGTCCTTTAATTACAGCCAAACCCATTTACACAATAACAGATAAAAACCTTTAGATAAATCAAACATTACCGCCACATATCTGACTCTATAACCATTAAAACAACTATTTTCATTAATCTCAGATGGAACTATTCACAGACTTGTATTATATTAAACTGCACTTCCAACGTTCACCACTGTTCAGAGTTAATTACCTTTTTCCTCTGATCACAGAGCAGCCGGCTTGCTTGGTCTCAATGAATCTGGGAAAACCAAGTACAGATAGGAGACACTGGACCTGTCCTCCAAATCAGGCCAAAAGGACGAGGCATTTTGTGGCCGCATAACGAGCAGCCTTGGAATCCGACCAGACCTCGGCGTCACGCTATGATGTAATCGGCCTTCAGATCTGGTCTTCGGAGGACGCATCCGAACACAGCCTATGTGTGTTAGGAGGGTTCTGTTTGGGCTGTCAGACACGTGATGGCTAATCATGGAGTGGTTCTGATGGGAAGACCTGCTCTAAAACGGACCGTTCAGTGTGGTCCGAACCAGGGCTGCACCTGACCATTATTTTGCAAATCGATTAAACTGTCAATTTTTTTTTTTTGATTCATCGATTATTAATTGGATAGCCAAAGATTCTTTAAAGGAGAGTTTTTACAAAATTAAACCAGGTGAAACTAAAACTTTCCCACTTGAGGAGTTCTGCATAGAGCAGATTGACAGATGAAAAATATTATTTTATGTTAAATGCAAAATGTTTGTTTATTTAAAACATTCCCTTAGCTGACAGAGAAAAACCACTAACAACAGGAATTAGACTAAGATTTTAAAGTATCTATACTCCATGTAACGATTAATTGATAACTAAATTAGTTGAGGATTTTTTCAATAATCGATTTACACATCCACCTCATTTTGGGAAATTCTCACCTATTTTTCATACCCAAATGATTTCAGGTTTGGTAGGAACACCGTTAGTCTGATGTCATTGGTCCTATGCAAAAATATGCATGCTTGTTGTTTTATTCTTGACATGAAAATCAGGGTTAATTTCATTTAAAGCGAAAAGCAGCATTTCTTGCTACATTTATACAAATTTTATAAGCACTACACACACTAGATGCTGTTTGTCAATGTTTGAAGTGTCACCGGCTCTAATGAATGTAGAATTATGACCATTTTCCATTTCAAAATGGTTTGTGTTTGAAATTACCAGCAAATAAGACAAATAATCTGTGCCTATTGAGCCAAACATAGTCTAAATGTGTCTGTTAGATGTGGATTTATCCTGTTTTTTTCTTTTAAAGATATAGAAATGTTCAGAGGTAAACAGAGGTAAAACCCATTCTTATCTTTTAAATGTTCTCTTTATATCATTAAAGCAAAATAATAGATTCAAGGGATGCCAAATAAGTTTATTGTATTTACATGAGCACTGGAACTAGAAGAGGAACTGACACTGAGCATTTAGAACATTAATATTCACTCTACAAGTTCCACATCTAGGTTGTAGTTACTCTTTTTAACTCATTTCATGTATTTAATTTAGTGCTGAAACAATTTATCAGATTAATCTATTATTGAAATAATTTTCAACAAATTTAGTAATCGATTAATTGGTAACTGGAGTATAGAGATTCTAAAACATGTTTTTAGTTCACAGAGCGACTGCAACAATGCTATGTTTTAAATTATAAACATGTTGTTCACCTAATTATTGGAAGGGACAAGTAGGTTGGTCCAGAATTTAGTTAGGGACATGTCCCTATGGTCCCTGTGCAAACCTACGCCATGGAGCTCGCTGCGTTCATAAAATGAACTTGGTGGTTGAATTGGGGAGAATCTTAGCTTTCCATCGATGTTAACATGTCTATATTGGAAAAATATTTTACCAGTGGAATTTTCATGCACTCTGAGTTATTAGTTGTAAACGCTTTAAACAAGCGGTGGGTTTTCAGAGGTTAATCTGATTAATTGTTTCAGCCTAAGTTCAAACCCACCTTCAGTCAGATTAACCACGTTCTGATTGTTCTGCCCACAGGAACTCCAGGAATGGAGGATGCATTCCTCAACATTTAAGCTCAGCAGCAGATTCTCAGCTCCACCAGCAGGGGGCGCTGAGAGAGTACGACCTGAGGCCAGAGGCAGGACCGTGAGCATCGGACCCACGGCCCGCCACCTGCCCAACCGACGCTATGTGGAGAGGAAGCCGCTGTTCACCCAGGAGCATCGGGCGTCCATCATGAAGAAGAGTCGTCCAGAGAAGGTTGGAGAAGATGTTTGCCTTGTGCCTCCACAACCCCCCACCCCTACTAGTTTTTGTTTTGATTAAAGCCTCCAGAGGTCACTAAAGGTCATTCTCCCCCCCTTTATTTTTAATTAAACCAACTTTTCCTCTATCAGTTTAGCTCCATCTGAGCAGCACAGATTTTAGTTGGTGCTGCTTCTGTTTTAAAGCTGTTAAGCAAAGGCCTTCAAACGTTGCTGTTTAAAGGCAAATATGTAATTGTATACCTGTAGAGCTGTTTCTGACAGCCATCTTAGATTTAGTCTTAGTTTTTGTCTTCTGGGAGACATGATATGGGATAGTTTTAGTAGGTTTAAGTTTATCATTAAGTTTAAGTATCATCAGCATAACAGTGGAAATGAATCCCATGCTGTATAATAATTCTACCGATAGGGAGCATATACAGTATATAGTAAAGAGAATTGGTCCTAGCATTGATCCCTGTAGTACTCCACAGGTAACCCTGGAGCATGAGGAAGATGTATTATTAATGTGAACAAACTGAAATCGGTCAGATAAGATTTAAACCAGTCTAGTGCTGTTCCTTTAATTCCTACAAAATAAGTCAAGTCTTTAAGAAACACGTTTTGTTTAATACAAGACTCAAATAAAATGTGTTGCAACTGGACCAAGATTAGCGCCTAGAACCAGAGCAATGCCCTGGAGCAGAGGTCAATAATTAAAAATCAGCTGGGTCCGAATAAAGAAAATCATCAACCAGTAAAAGTCCTGTGACATTTTTAATTATCTGTTACTTTAAACAGAATTTAACACTGAAATAAAACAAGGTTTTTATGCATCAATGTCATACATTGAATTTTTAAATAAAAAATAGAAGAAAAAAAAACGAGAAAATTTTTGCATCTTAAAATCAAGTGTTTTTTAAAGTGGAGAACAACAATTGTTTAGTTTGGTATATAGACAATTTCCTGTTCACATATTTTATCAAATCCCTGAACAGGCTGTTTGCTTTTTTCTTTTTTCTGTCTTAATGAGAGCAGTGGGCTTTATGCTGCCATGCAAGGCTTTAAACCTGGGTTTGAATGGAGACAAAGCCATTCCCAGCTCATCTGTGAGCTTATATATTCCCAGAAACTAAGACCATTTATTTAAATGATTGGATGCAAACTATTGGTACTTCAACAAACCAGGAAGCAGATTTCTTGTCTTGATCAAAATATTTATTTTATACTAAGAAGCTTAAAGGTTTCATCAAATCCCGTCAAAATGCCCAAGAGCGCCTCTCACAACTTCAAAAGAAACTACTTATCGAGGAATGGAAGAAGAGATGCTGAGTTTGGAAGCAGAGAACAAACATAGTTCATAAAAAAACAATTTTATATGATCCTAGTTATCCCTGTTACAAAAATCCACAACAAAGAAAAATATTTGGACAGAAACTATGCTGGATGGGATTTGTATTTTTTTTTATTTGTCATATTAAATTAAGTGTTAATTTCCGCATGTTTTGCTCCTTAACATAATACGCCTGGCAGTGCGGAGACGGTGACGGAGGATGTGGGATTTTGGAGTTAGATACTGTCGTCGGACAACATGCAGTAATTTATAAATATTTTAAATCCGGTTGGGTCTGGATCCGGCCCGCGGGCCGCTGATCCCGGACCTCTGCTCTTGGGCAGGGGTCACCAATTACCTGGCTGCTTCTTCGCTGCTCCATATGTACTGAACATAAGGTTGTCCTCAAACTCAAGCAAGGAAAGAATTGGATCCAATCTGATGTTGTAAACCTTGTTAGCAACGCCGCTATTGTTAGCGCTAACACTGGCTGTCGGCATCTCTTCTGGTTTGAGGCTGTCATTTGTCCTAAATATAACCTTTCTCTCATCAAATGGGCGTTAGTCCAGTATACATGTATATCGTATACATATGTATACAATATACACAAGCTAGTCCAACAACCCTAACATTAGCCAGCTGGGCGGCTAATGTTAGCCATGCTACCCACTGATCTCTGTTTATTCACTGGATTGCAGATAGCCTGTTGGTAGTTCAGATTGGAGTGAAGCCACCGGCCGCCATATTGGTACTCCGTAGTTAGACCAGTCGTATGTAAACAATCCGTGCGCTACAGCATCTAACAACGATTATTTTCTCATTTTCATTGGGGCTTAAAACTTTTAAAACAAAAATAGATTCATCACTTTAACACACACTGGCTGTTTCATAGCATCAGTAGATTACTGTCATTTATAATAAATAAATAGGCACAACACATTGCATAGTCAAGAAGTCAATGAAGTCTATAAATCATGCAATATAACATATACAAATCCATCACAACGAAATGAATTTGTTAATAGAGCATAATAATACAGATGTACATAAAGTGCTTAACTGATGATGTACATGTAATGTATTGATGACATTGTTATGGTAACTATATATATTACATGCAATATCAAGATTTTACATCAAGACTGAATTACCAGTCCAGTCTGTTAATACTGTAGTAATTTTCTACTTGCAGATTGTGCATAAATGATGCCATATATTTCTATGCTCTGTCTGTGCATTAGCCTTTAAATCTGATAGATTTACAATAGAGCTAAATTAATGAACCAATTTAATAACTCTACATGGCTTCATTTTCTACACTGGCAAAATAACATCAACTGGCAAAATAACAAGCAACAGCAAATTCACATTCTGCTTTTCGCTCATAGTTACAACAAGAATCTGATCATTTGCATATAATATACATACAAGTATGCACACACACACACACACACACACACACACACACACACACACACACACACACATACTAACGAGTGATTTAATATCTTTAATAATATAACAAACACTACAGAAACGGCATCATCCATTTCAACAAAAATTACTTAATTAACATTTGACAATGAATTACTTTATATTAACTCTGCTTTCTATTTTCTAACTTTAGACACAATGTTGATGGCTAACTCAGTCAATGTCTTTGACTCTGTCTAAGATAGCCAGACTAATGTTCCTCTACATACACAGGTTGGCATTATTATGACTCTGTGAGAGTAGGGAGTACCAAGATGTTGGCGGGTGATTTCTCTTTTTCCGGCTATCAGCAATCAAGGGAACAGAGATCCGTGATGCTACCCCATTACAGTTAAGCCTAATGTCGATTTCCACTCTGTCAGTGAAGAGGAAGGTGCCTCTTTATCCTTAAAGATGTCATTGCAGGGGCGTGCTTTGATGGTGAAGTGGTTGGCGTACACGACCCATGTACAGAGGCCTTAAGGCTAATTTATGCTTCTGATGAATAGCCTCTGCAACCGTCAAATCTGTCTCTGTGCGTAACCACGCCCCCCACGCAGAGGCTCTGCAACCGTCGTCGCGCACCTCAAAAAAATTCCTGATTATGTGGCGGAAGTGCACAGCTGTGATTGGTCCTTGGTATGCCTTTCCGGCTGTCTGTGTGGTCGTCCTTCTCGATTCGGTGCCGGGGCGCGCCATTTCTGAAAACCGGGAAACTTCCAAGGACAACTACGACGAAAGGTTAATCAGTCTTTTTGCCAACTCCATTAACAGAACCTGTACTCTTCAATGTCTAGAGTTGCTAGACATTGAAGAGTACAGATCCATCTCTGTGACCGTGATATCTTGCCGACGCGCCATTGTTGTTTTGGAAGATAAACACTTGCGCCGGTTGCGCCAAAGTTCTCATGACCATCCCCCGAAGTTCTTGCGGGTTCTCGAATAGGCGCCCCCTTGCACTTTAGCGGGAAACTGCCGTGTGTCCCTAGAAATTCCAGATCGACGGTGCAGAAGCATACCAGCAAAGCTGGTTTTCAACCAAACCCAAGTGACATTTGATGTGTGCGTTTCCAAAAGTATAATCTGCCTTTTAGTCCTCAACGCGGCCGACCCGGGTTCGAATCCGACCTGTGGTACTTTGCCGCATGTCTCTCCCTCTTTCTCATACCCCCTTTCCTGTCTGCCTACTGTCCAAAAAACGAGCCACTAGTGCCGTAAAACACCCCAAAAAAGATGTTGGTACAACTTTGGATGATGACATCAACTACTCTAGGTGGGCGTGGCCATATTTTATTGTTGGACTTCGTAAATGATGTTAATAATATGTCAGGAGTCGACAGTACTGGGTTAGGAGAATAAATCACTGTTGATGTCTCATAAACGCATTTTTATGTTAAATATTATGTTAAATATTGTTTTATTGAATAATTTGAATGATGAATTCCAATCATATGATATATGTATATATATCTAACGAGTTACACTAAAATAGTCTTTATTTAAATTTAAAGAGTTAATCAACTTTTCAGTTTATCTGATTGGTTTTGACTGAGGTTCAGGTTGTGGAATTATCTCAGGAACCGAGACTCATGGTCACTGCTTTTGTTTCCACTGGTTCAGGAGGAACCTTCAGGAGAACCCACCAGCATGAAGCTCCAGGTCCCACGGTCACAGAACCCGCCCACAGAGAGGCTTGACCTGTCTCTACCTTCAGCCTCCATAGGAGAACCCAGCTCAGACCTTCAGACCCAGCTGTTCTCTGGAGAACCAGCCTCAGGGTTATCCTTCCATGACGGCTCAGTTCTGGAGGGTCTGAACATCCCTCTGAGGCCACAGCTGAGCTCCACTTTTCTTCATCCAACCTCCACTCCACGCTCTCAGAACCACAGAGCGAGCCAGACCCGCCTCAGGCTGAGGGAGGAGAAGTGTACGAAGAACCAGGAGAGTTCCTACCAGAGGGACTACTGGGCCTGTGCGGTTCCCAAAGCTCCGCCTCCTTCTGCTGACAGAAGTTCCTCTACCTGGAACCCGAACCAGGAGTATGAGACCCTGCTGGACTACACCTACCCTCTGAGACCGGGACATGTGAGCAGCCAGCAGAAGGCTGACTCCCCACTGGGGACAGACGCCAACATGCAGGACTCTGGGATCGAACTGGACCAGTTCTGCAGCCTGTCAGGCTTGGATCTCTCTGACACAGGAGGGGGAGGAGGGAGTGGAGGCTGGAGTTCTCCACCGGCAGAGGACCAACAGAACCTCCACAGAACCTCAGCTGGTTCACCCTCCTCCCTGTCGGAAGCCTTCAGATCAGACCACAGTAAGGCCAGAACTGCAGCAGGCGGGGGCAGCAGTGATGGTCCTGGCTATCGGCATCATCCGGTATCCCCCCTGTCCCCCTCCTCCGCTTTGATTCAGTCCAGCTTGGTTCTGCCTCGGTCCGGCTGCTCATCTGCAGCCATAGATGAAGACTTCTGGCCTCTGCCGGAGCAGCTGGAGGAGCTGCAGCAGCTGTCTAGACAGGTCAGTGTGACGCTGAACACTGGAACCAAACCTGGTTCTGATTCCTGATGTATTCTAATCTATTCATTACCCAGCAGGGCGGTAAATATTATATTTAATAAAATATCTTTCAGACTGTCCTGCTGGCTGTGTGTTAGAACAACAAATGAATGTGTGACTTGAGCTCAAATCCTGATCAAACAGATAAATCTGTAGATATATGGAATAAATTCACCATAAATTCACACTTACAGTGGGACCAAAAGTATTTAGTCAGCCACTGATTGTGATAGTTCTCCTTTTTAGAATAATGAGAGAGGTCTGTAACTTTCATCATAGGTGCACTTCAGCTATGAGAGACAAAATGAAGGGGAAAAAAACAGGAAATCAAATTGTAGGATTTTTAAAGAATTTATTTGTAAATTATGGTGAAAAATAAGTATTTGGTAAATAACTAAAGTTCAACTCAGTACTTTGTAAGATAAGCTTTGTTGGCAATGACAGAGGTCAAAAGGTCAATGTTTTAATCAGTGAAGCAAAGATGGCCGTTTATTGTCCCATAGAAACAGACTGCAGGAGGGAGCTCACCGTGATGCCGTGTCTCTGTGGAAAAGGTTAAAGCCAGAATAAGGCTGGAGTTTCACTTCCACAGAGCCACACACAACATGGAGGATTTTATTCTGCTGTGGGGTTTTAATATTTTATGTGCTGTGTCAGATGAAGGACAAATACAATTTAACAACCTCCTCATTTAATGATTTTTAGCTGACACTTGTTTTTACATCAATGCGGATTTTTAACTGACTTTTTTTTACGTCAATAATTGTTTATATGTTTTAAATTTTGTAAATAAAGTGTTAAAAGAAAAAAAAATCCTTCCTGCGTCCGTCCCTCCCTCTCTCCCTCACTCACTCACTTCCTTCCTTCCTTCCATTCTCCCTCCCTTACTTACTTCCCTTCCATCCTTGCAGACGAGGGAGCTGACGGCCCATCTCAGTCCCCCTCTCCCAGCCAGCTATGGGTCTCTAGAGGACATCTCCTCTTCCATGGTTTCCTCCATCACCTCTCCTCAGAACCGGGTCACTGTAGAACAGAATCCAGAGGTTCTGAAGGACCAGCAGGATGGAGGAGAAGGATTTGAGACTTCTGCTCAGACAGGTATTTATTCTCTGATATCTAAAGCCAGGCATCCTTGACTTCATCCCACAGGTCTCCTTGTTTCCTTCTCAGCAGCGGGCGGTGCCATCAGGTTCGGTGCCGGGCCGGGTCCAACCGGTCTCAGGGAGTGTTTGGGGAAGCAGCAGCTGGGTCTCTGCAGCCAGGAGCATAAGGACTCTCTAATGAAGCTCATCCAGGTAGGAACCATCTAAGCTGAGCTTGTCCAGCCTCGGTCCTGTTGTCCACAGCTGTCTCTGTTCCAGGTGTTCTGCTCACAGCTGGAGCTGCTCATCCAGCAGCTGTACGGCCTATCAGAGAGCATGGAGAGGGCAGCTGCTCCTGCTGGGGACGTGGACAGCCTGAAGTCCGCTCTGGCTCACTATCAGGTAACAAACGTCCTCAGAAAACAACAACAGCTTTTAGTTGGTTCTGTATGGTTCTAATGGATCAGGGAGGAAGATGTTCCTGGTAGATGTTCCTACAGATTGAAACGGGTCCATCAATCCTATAGAAAACAAGAAGAGTTTCCTTTTTATGATGAATGAATCTTTGAGGAGAATAATAAGCTGGTAGAGCTCGTATTGGATGCCTACAGCCTGTATCTCTAAAAGTAGTAGATGGAAAAAAAGATCAAAATAATAATAATTGGTAAAGATTTATTATTCTCTAAGTGGACCCAATGTGAGCAGATCGGTGAGCAAAGAGTCTGAGCCTGATTTTGCTGCCTGATGTTTCAGAGCTTCCAGAAGGATGTGAGCAGCCACCAGCCTCTGACCTCCTGCGTTCTACAAGCTGGACAGCATCTTCTGAGCAGCATCACCGCCGTCGTTCCCTGTCAGTGCTCCAGGTCCAACATCTTGAACCGCCGCTTCCTGCAGAGTCTCACCGTTTCCTGTTTGTTTGTCTGCAGTTCTCAGAGACGCGCTGCTGATGATTGAGAGGCAGTCTGGAGCTCTGCAGACTCACTCAGACCTCTGGCTCTCCTCCATCCTGTCTGCTGTGGACACCCTGGCTCCGCTCACTCACCGCAGCTCTGCTCTGCTCAGAGAAGAGAGGAACTCTGCAGGAACCTGATCAGAGGCCTATAGTCCCCGTCTGCTGACTGATTCCTAACAGTTCTGACCGGACTGTAACCCTCAGCGCCTTGATCTCCTCTGTTTCTATGTGAGAACTCTGGGTCAGCTATTGGACCACCTATCAGCTGTCCTGCATAGGAAGCAGGTCTAGAAGGACTGCCCTCTCAGGTCCATTCCTCTATTTCAGAAGCTCCACATGGATGGATGTTCTAAGCCTTAATTTCTATTCATTCTGATGGATTTCTGCTTTAACCAATCAGATTTCAGAAGAACAGATGACATCAGACCAATGAAACCATGTGGATCAGAGCTCAGTGATGCTGGTTTAATTTATCTGACAGATTTCAGTTTGTTCACGTTAATGATAACCCCAGGCTCACACAGACTCCGGTCTTACCGTTGCGGTGCGGTGTGTGCGGCGCCGCAAGGATTCCAAGTCATTAAAAAGACGTAAACATCTCTCACCGGCTGCTGAGCTGTCCGGCTGCGGTTACCGAGACACTCCGGCGCTGCAGAAAATTCCGCAAGAAAGCTATCCTTGCGGCGTGCCGGAGCCCTCCGCAACAAGCTCTCGCAAAAATCCTTTATTTGGGCCGTGTTATCGCGTGAAGTTACGTGAACTCAAGTGAACTTCTGTTAAATCTCCGGACCTGTTGCCGGAGCCGCAGAGCCGCACCGCACCGTAGTCAAAAGGGCGGTGTGAGAGGGGGTGTGCGGGAGTTGCGGTCTCCGTCGGCTCGGTAACCGCACCGGAGCCAGTGTGAGCAAAGGGTAATAAATCTTCCTCATTCTCCAGGGTTACCTGTGGAGTTCCACAGGGATCAGTGCTAGGACTAATTCTCTTTACTACATATGTGGGACTCATTTCCACCATTATGGTGATGATGCTCATCATAGGTTGCTGATAATGATGAAGTATAAAATCTTGGTGTTATAATAAAAACTTTCCTTTTTTTTAATCTTTGACAATTGCAAAAATTAGAAATACCTTGTGCTTAAAGCTGCAGTTTGTAACAACCTTAAGCCCGGCGGGCCCGGTACAGGCCTCACATGGTGTTTCATCCACACGCCTTTTAAATGGAGGTTTAACATTTCTAAAACATGTTTCAAATTTATTTTTTCACAAATACTTTTTGTTTTATATCTGTGTACACAAATAAAATGAGATTTCAAATTCCGTCTGACATGTCTGACTCTGCGGGAGTAATGCAACAGCAGGTATTCATTTATAGTAACAGCCCCTCATGGCGGTATCATTGGAAACTAAAGGCTCAGACCTTTTCAAGGAGGGGTCAGAGATAATTATGCGACAATTTCAAGTGATGTAACCGGCGTGCGTTACATAAGCTTGCTCTGTTATTCTTATTTTCTATTCAGTTTGGTGACATTACTGGTAAATTTCAATGAAACAATAGCTAAATCTAAGGAGCAAAGGCTTTGTCGTATGCAAAAAGTCTCCAATAATGTAAATCAGCACGTTTGTCTGACCAGATTCCCTTTTCTGAGTGGAAAAATGCATTTTTGCACTTTTGGCATTGTGCCAAAATCACATTTCCGCCTAGCACACTGCCCACTAAAACCTTAATTAAAACATGCTTCAACTTATTCAGTCCAAATTTGCTGCTAAAACCAGATCATCTGGTTCATTTAATTACACAATAACACTCATGTGGCCCTCTGATGGACCTTTTATGGTTAAAAGTGGGCGTTAACCGAGTCGAACATGAGGAGAAGGAGCCTTGGATGGAATATCTGAGGAACAGTGGGTCATTCTCAGGAAGAGCGGTGAAAACTTTTCTACTCAGTTTCCTTACAAGCAACAGATGAAGAACCAGTTTCATTGTAAAATAATCTTAAAGCGATCCTGAATACTGGCCTTCCTCTCTGGATCAGAGAGGAACATCGAGTCTCAGAGCCAGATCATTCTTTCTATAAACTTTTCTCTGAATGCTAATCCATCAAAGAGGAATCATTGGATTACTACTATTCACAACCTTCTGGTTGCCTTCTGTAGTGCATAGAGGTGTTCAGAGAGAAAAATACTCAATGCCAATTTCAAGAAAACCTGCTAAATACTGGGCTGCAGGCAGGGGCGGATTTAGGAAATGTGGGGCCCTAGGTAAAGACAGGCAGGGGCCCCTCTGAATTAAGAAAACAACACATAAAACAGACCCATTATACAGATAGAGAAATGTTAATAGAATAGACATCCATTATCTGTTCTAGGTTTTGTCCCTCTCTTCTTGTCCCTTTTCTTCTTGTTTTCCTCTCTATGTTTTGTACTCAGCTGACTTTTCATGCTGTCTCTAAAGGAATGAAAGATTTTTTCCAAGCACTAAGCTCACTTAGCTGATTGCTCCTTCCTGTGTTTCCAAAAAGGCCAAAGTAAATAACCCAGTCCTTCTTTTCACTGTAGACAAGCCATGATCTGCTTCTCTGTTCTCCATTTTTCATTTGGATGAAATAATAGCTGCATGAATCATGACAGCAGACAAGATAGAGGAGAGCAGGAGGCGGGGTTACCAATCTACTGGCTCTGGAGAGCAGAGTTCTCCAGTAGCAGAAAAAAGTCTCTAGATTTGGCGCTAGGAGCTTTTTTTTTTTTATAAAAGAGCTAGAGGGGTCTGAAAAATTGCTAAATATAGCGACAAAAGCGCTAAGTTGGCTGCTGTCTGTTTGGACATTTCTGAACATGTGCAGCAAATGGACTGATCCAATATGGTGGACACTGAGGGGGGGATGCCGAGACACAATATTATAAGCGTTCTGATGGCATTTTAGCAAAAAGGATTTTTTTATCAAAAACATAATGTGCAAAAATAAGGTATAGTTGTATTAACTATACATGTAAACAGAGTTTTATGGGGCCCCCAGGAACTTGGGGCCCTAGGGATTTGCCTAGTATTGCCGAATGGTAAACCCCTCTTGGCTGCAGGGGCGGTTCTAGTCTGTTAAGGTCTAAAATTTGGTCTGAAATCACCACTGCTGCTTTAAGCCTCACTGCTGATGTCACTGGCTTTATGAAACCAATAAAATAAAACCATTTTATTTTCACAGATATTTTCAGGCTCTACCCTGTAACTCTCACTTTAAATTAGATGCAGGTGATTTAAAAGTTAAACCTGTAAAAAGAAAAGAAAGCATCCTGTTTGTCCTGTAGGCTGGAGAGCTATGCAGGAGGGGTGGTTTGACAGGATGATCTGGTTTTTAAAAATGATGAGTTTCATGTCCCAGAGCACTAAAGACAGTCTGTCTGAGGAGTCTGTGGAGAGAAGATGGAGAAGCTGTTGTTCTCGCTCATAACTCTAGTTCTGGTGTCGTACAGCAGTGGTCAAGCTCCATCCTGCAGAGATTATCCATGTCCAAAGTATGATGTCCAAGAGCAAAATAAGGTATGAATGACAGCAGGCTGTTTTAACGCTTCTTTTTCATGATAACTGCTAACGATTTTTATCTCCTGTGAGCAGGACTTCGAGGTGCGTCACTACGCTGACACTGACTGGATCACCACTAAGTTGAGCAAAAGAGACAGTGGCTCCCTAATGGCTGCAGCCAAGACACTGGGGGATTTCTGTGATGCCCAGAAAAAAGCAGGTAAATCAGGAGCTTAAACAATATGCTTCACTATAAGGGGGATTTGGTCAAGCAGCCTGTGGAAGGATTCACAACAATAAACCAATAGAAGTAGAACAGCCATCCGCTCAAAGAACTTCAGAGTAAACTAGTAAGAGGAATATTGTGTGCATACCACTAGTTCTGAAAACCTAAACACAAGCTTTTCCTTTGTAGTTTGGGGTCTGATGGTGGTTGATCACTATAACACATCCCACCCTAACACCAGACGTCATTTAGACGTGGGTTTTTAGGCTTCATCTGGTCGGTCCGTCATAATCTGGATTTAGTCCAGAAAAAATGGTTAAATATTGGGCTGTGATTGGTCGCTCTGATTTTATCCCACTTTGGTCCAAGTATTGAACATTATGTCACTTTTCTGCTGAATGTTAGATGTTGTTTGGATGTAAATCCTGTCATCTTTTCAACCAATTTGTTGTTTTTTTTTGGTCCCACAAGCAAATTTTTCAGATGGTTGAAAAGACGTAGAAAACTGAGTTTAAAACATCTATTATTGGACTAAAGTGGGATAAAATCAGAGGGACCAAACACAACCCAATGTTTAACAACAATTTCTGGAATAAATCCAGACTATGTTGAACCGTCCATTCTAACCGCTCTTAGCTGTAATGATTTTATGGGACCCTTTATAAATAAGATTCATCTTATTAAAAATAAGAACATTAGAACTTCACTAACTATGACTGGTTTATCTCTGGAATGTGAGGCAGCATCTGAGGTAGCCATAGAATCTGAACCTTTTATTCCAGTGTAGTCCTGTTTCTCTGACTGTGACTAACTGGATGTGCTCTCTTCATCCTCTGACATGGGAGCTGGCTCGGAGCTCGTCTGCCTGGCTGTGTGTTTCCTGAACGGGGCCGCCTTTTACTGTTTCCTTTTGTATCTCTGCTTCTGTCTCCATGAACCCCAGTCGGCCTAGGAAGATGGGCCAAGGTTCTGCTGGAGGTTTCTTCCTGATAAAAGGGAGTTTTTCCTCTCCACTGTCGCTACAAGCATGCTTAGTGTGAGGGATTACTGAAGAGTCCATGAGTTGATGCAATCAGCTGGTTTTCCTTAGATAGAAAACTTTGAATCAATTTGACTGGATGATCTGGTGAACTGGAAAGTGCCTCGAGATGACGTTTTGTGAATTGGCGCTATAGAAATAAACAGAATTTAATTGAACTATAACGACTGACTAGATGAAGCCTAAAAAACAACTTCCAAATGATGTCTGCTGTTTGGGTGGGATGTGTTATAGTGATCAACCACCATCAGAAAAGGAAAGCTTATGCACTGTTTTCAGAACTAGTGGTATGTACATAATATTCCTCATACTAGATTATGATTTACTTTGAGATGAACCTCTTGGCTGTGTTAATGTCCTGCTTTCTGAATATGATCTGAATATGATCTGTCCATACTAAGTGTGTAACCTAGTGATGAAAGTTGGTGGGGACACTCTTAGGGTGGTGGCTGATGGACCTACAGTTACTCGAACCGAACGCTTTCAAAAGGGTTTGTACTTTCCAAAAATGAGTACAATCATCTATTTATTGAATGCTTTCCCATTGTTGAGAACATAAAAGAACCATACTACACTGATATTTATAGGTAGTTAGACATTGATGTATAAAAAATAAAGGATGAATAACAGCCAATTCCGATGCCAACAGCATTATATCATGCCTCCCTAGTATGCACACAATTTCAGTTTAATTCATCCATCAATCCATCCAGTAAAATGTAG